ATGAAACAGCCTTTTCTTTATTTAGAAACACAATAAAACGATGGTATAAAGATTACAGGCCTATTAGACCGCTTCCCAAAGACCGACAAAAGATTTTAGCCTGGGAGGGATTTTGTGCTAAAGGCAAAACATCATTATTCTGCTTTACCAACATCATGAATGGCAAATTTTATGTTGAAATCTTGCGCAAACACTATCCAGAAGTCAGAAGAATGTTTGGTAGGCGATGGAGGTTTCAGCAGGATAATGACCCAAAGCACACAAGTAAAATCGCCAAAGAGTTTCTTGACAAGAACTTCCCCGAGACTATCGATTGGCCGGCCAATAGCCCAGATCTCAGCCCTATAGAAAATCTATGGAGTATTGTTAAGCATAGAGTAGAGAAGCGGTTACCATCAAATATAGTCGAACTAGAGCAGTTTATGGTTGAGGAATGGCAAAATATTCCTGCCGATACTTTAATCAATCTTATTGCATCAATGCGCCGTTGCCAGCTTATCATTGATAATAATGGTGATCGAATTCTTATTAATGTATTAAAAAATTTCTTTTCAATAAAATCTTTATTTTTAGCTTTAAAATAAGCTATTACACATAAAATTAAGTTAAATATTTAATAAATTATTTTTTTAAAAAAAAGGACAATTTTTTTTGATACATACTGTATGTTTAAATGGCAACTCTATTCGGCTGGGTCTTGAATGCCGGTGGACCGACAGGCCGTTGGTTCCTGAAAAAAGTCGTCATCTCGCGAGTTGTGTCACGTGCGTCCTCAGAGGTTCAAAGTACATTTCATCCACATTTTTTAATAAATACTCCCGCAATTGAATAGCGCCCTCAGAATTTATCAAATTAGAATCAAGAAATTAAACAGAGTCTTTATTATAATCGATTCTCTAATTTTACTTTTAAATGTCTCTTCAAGTGAGCAACCAAGAACACTTATATACCTCGACAGAGGTTAAAAAAACTGACGTCTCATCACGCCTTGGTGTGAATGAACCTCAGAAAGATGTCAACTTCTTGCAACTTTTTCGTTATGCCACCCTGTTTGATTGGTTCCTTATTACTCTTGGTTCCATAGCAGCATTGGCCAATGGTGCTTCTATGCCTGTGATGACTATTATCTTCTCACGCGTGATAGAATCGTTCGCAGTATTCACACTGTCAATTAGCACAAATGGATTCACTGAAGCAGCCAAAGATGATTTGCACAGTTCGATGATCTCGAATGTAAAGTTGTTTTTAATACTCGGAGCGGCGGTATTCGTGGTTTCTTATATACAAATGTCAATGTGGATGATCGCCGGGGAAAGGCAAGCTAAGGTATTATAATATTTTAAAATATCTTATTTTATAAGGAAAATAGTCACGAAGTTTTTTTACATTTTTATAGCGCGTTCGTCAAATATACTATGAGGCGATCTTACGTCAAGACATCTCATATTTTGATTCTATTTCTACTGGAGATATAACAACTCGTATTTCTTCCGACGCAAATCTTTTTCAGGAGGGTATCTCTGAGAAAATTAGTCAAGTTATACAAAGTGTTACCACCTTCATTGCTGGATTCGTTGTTGGATTTACTAAAGGTGAGCGGAAAAATTATGGTTTGTTTCCTCATGGTTATTTATCACGATTTTATTGAACCTAGACTGTATTTTTTCCATTTTAGGGTGGAAACTAACACTCGTCTTATGTTCC